ACAACAACAAACACAACAACAACAAACACAACAACAAACACAACAACAACAAACACAACAACAAACAACAAACACAACAACAACAAACACAACAAACAAAACAACAACAAACACAACAACAAACACAAACACAACAACAACAAACACAACAACAAACACAAACACAACAACAACAAACACAACAACAAACACAAACACAACAACAACAAACACAAGAACAAACAACAAACACAACAACAACAAACACAACAACCACTAAGAGACACAAACAGGAAGTAGCTGCTCTGCTCTGACTGGCAGTGAAACAACAGAAACAACAACATGATGAACAAACTGCACAGAGAGTCACCAACGGAAAGGAAACACCGTGAGAGGAATGTGTAGTCTCTCCAGGACCTTCCAGGTCTCTCCAGGATCCTGGAGGACCCTCCCGAGGCTCTCTGAGCTCCATGTTCTTCACTGTAGATCCTCTCGGCTCCTCTGGCTGGTGATGCTTTCAAGGCCAGGTTTCACACCAGAGAACATCAGGAACACACTGAGCTGGGTGGCGTCTGTTGCTCTGCCCGTGCTGATCACTGATCATTGATCATTGATCACTGATCATTGATCATTGATCGTCTGCTTCTGTCTGCAGATCGAAGACGCCTTCGTTCGTCTGCCGGGCTTCAAGAAGGTCCACATCGTGGAGTTCAGGTGAGTCCCAGTTTTATTTTAGTCTTTACAGGACGGAACCGTTTCTGTGTTTTATATCAAGTTATCACATGATTAACGAGTTAGCGCCTCGTTAGCACCTCGTTAACAACTTATGACTGAAAACGTCTTGTCACTAACGATCTCATTATCAGCTGATGGTTTAAGTCATGATTTCTACTGACGTAATTTTATGATTGTAGTTTAATAAAATGTTTTTCTATTGAATTCTTTAACTTCTGTCGTTAATGTTTTTCGTGGTTTTTAATGTGTGAATGATTTTGTTGGATGTTTAACTGTTTGGTTTTTATTTACACCTGATCAGTGTTTCCTCCTTCGCTGGTCCATAAATCTAATTTAAAGCTTTGAATCCAACAAACATTCAGTTTTATTTCGTCTACAGTCTGATTTATAAAATAATAAATCATGGAACAGATTTATTTTTTCTGGTTTAGGAGGAAACAATAATCAAGACATTTAGTTTGAGGCTGATTTATTCAACGTTCAGATTTCTGTTCTGGAAATAAATAAAAATGATTCAAGGATATTAAACAGATTTAATTTGTTTCATTTGAATATTTCAACATTGAGATTTATTCATTTCTTAATGGTCATGTTGTTAGAAATACACGTTTGTGCTGATTTCTGTCTTTTAGTTCAAACCTGATTTTGGTGTCTCTTTGTGTTTTCAGGCCTCAGAAGGACCTGGAGAGGTGAGTCTCAGTCTGTCTCTGATTCAGCTTCTGGTCCGCTTCCTGTCTTTGTGGAAGTTATCAAGAAAATCCAGCCGTTGTTGGAAACGACTGAAACATGAACAGAGAAGCTAACAGTAAAATATCAGGACACAGTGACAGGACTGTGACGAATCTGGTCTAACCGCCCGGTGCTGGTCCTGTCTGCAGGGGTCTGGTGGTTCTGGTGCACTACGCCATCACTCTGGAGGTGGACGGCGGCAGCGTCGCCAACGACACGCTGGACTTCATCTCCCTGCAGAACAACCTGGTGGAGAAAAACTACCCGGGCGCCGCCGAGCAGCCCACCGTCGTCTACACCATCACCGACTTCCGCAACTACATCACCGAGGCGCTGCACAAAGACAACTTCATGACCAACAGCAGCCTGGAGGCGGCGGACCCCCTGCTGCTGGAGAACGGTACTGCGTCCTGCTGCCTCACCAGGCGGTTCAGTGTCTGAGCTCAGCTGGAGTAACTTTAGTTCTTAGAACATCACAAATGAATGAGCAGTTATTATTTCTCTGGGTTTGTAAACTCCTTCTGAGGGGCGCTAACAGGACTTCTTTGTTCCTGCAGCAGAGAACTCGCTGCCGTCGGAGAAACCGACGAGTCGACCAGCCGACACCTTCGACAACATGGTGAGATCACGTCTCCAGAACTGAGAGGTGTCTTCTGTGCACAATGACACAAACCACAAAAAGGAAACATTTCTTCGATTGTTTTACAAAAATATCAAAACCTTTCAGCAGTAAATCTGTGTTTTACATCTAAAAGTAAACTTTACAGAATCAGAGAACATGAATAAAACTTTAGGAGCCGTTACCACTGAACTGAGAACATGACGTCCAGCTGATCCATTTGTGTTCAGGATAACATCCTCGCTGCAGAGAAGCCTCCCGACGCTCCGATCCACGAGGCGGACGGCGGCGATGGCTTCCTTAAGAAGGACGACTTCCTGTTTGACCTGTTCGACCAATGGAAAGGCCCGCAGAGTGAAGCGGCCAGCGAGAACGACGTCTTCATGTTTGACGATAGCGCGGCTCCTTCACCGGCCGACGAATTCCCAGCAAAGACCTTCGACCTGGAGACTCACGACAAGAGTACGTAAAGACTGACGACCCAGAGAACCACGGGTTCACAGTCACAAGCTGAATTTCTGAAGTTGGTAAAAGTACATCTGTAAAAATCGCAGTATTTAAAATATGTGCTGTTTGTGAAAACAGTAATTTCCTGAAAGTTTTTTGAAGTTCCCAGAACGTGTCCTGATAGTTTCATTAGAAGGCGGTGACATCCTGAAGCTGCGGTTTGTTCATCGCTGCAGCTGAAACCTGTTTGAACTGACAGTTCAGACGGTTCCTGCAGGTGGCGCTCTGCCAGAGGTCTCAGCTGTAAAGTCTCGTGTGTTTCTCTGCTTCACAGATAGTGGACATATTGAAGAGGAGGGCTTCCTGGTCGGTAACGCCGCTGGCGGTGAGGCTGATGCCCCCCGAGGAGACCATGAGCTCAGTTCTGGAGGCCCATCTCCTCCGCTGGAATCTCAAACCTCCTCGGAGGCCTCGCTGGAAGATGGTTCCGGTTCCGGGTTCTCTGGAGACAGCCAGCGCTCTGATGTCTGGTCCTGGCAGACTTCACCGACGTCCGACGCCATCTTTAATAATGGGGACGGAGGCCTAGAGGTTCTACCGCCACCTGATCTGGAGGAGGATGAAGACGAGCCTGCTGCTGAGTCGTCCACCACTGAGAAAGAAGTTCTGATCGGAGTAGGATTCACTGAGACAACTGCTTTAAAAGAACCACTTCCAGATGGATACGTCGAGGAGTCTTTCCTGGATCAAGTTCTGGTAACACCACATATCAGTACAGATCCGCGGTACTCGACCACAACTCAAGCACCCGTGTTCTCGCCCAAAGGAACCCTTGCTATTGAGCTTTCTGTTCAGACAGTAGAAGCATCGGGGATCTATGATGACTGGATCGAGCCAAACACGCTGGCAGCACCAGTTGCAGATTTTTCTGAACCTGAAGCTTGGACTCTGGATGCTGCTGTTTTTGTGCGACCAACTGATTTAACAGATTTAGCCACAAACCTTCCAGGAACCACTGAGGAATTGGAAGAAGTTACTGAGGCAGCAGCTACATCTGAAATACCTCAGGTCCCTGATACCAGCGCTCCCTCAACCAAGGAGTTGCCTGCCTTCGTGGAAGTCCAGGCAGTCACAGTTGGTGAGTCCAGCTCTGATGCGATCACCAATGAGCCTCCACATCCAGATGTACCGACAGAAAGACCAAACCTGCTGCCAGAGACACCAGACCGCGATGTGGTTGAAATTTTGGAGGAGCAGCACATAGACAGCACTCATCCTACAACAGCGCCGGTGGTTGACACCATAGACCAGGACCTGGTTGTGGATGAAGTCATGGTCGTCATCACGACGACTGTCGCTCCTCGTCCAACTCCATCTGTAAGCTCAGACCACGACAGCAGCATCGCACTCTCTCCTGAGAAGGACTCTCCGTTCACTCGAGTGTCGGATTCATTGCCAGAGGACGAGGATCTGGTTCACCACGAGCACCCAAACCATGAAGCCGTGACCGAAGGTCCGATCAGCACTCCGCCCTCAGATGTTCCTCAGTCAACACCAGAAACTGAAAAGAGTTCTTCAGAAGAGTCGCCTGGTTCTTTAGCGTCAGACGGAGACTCAGGTGTAACTTTGACAGATCCTTCAGGAGGACAAGAAGGTGGCGACGCCCATGAAGCCCCGACTTCCTCGCTACAGAAAGTCAACAGCAGTGTTAATGTGACCGAGTTTCACCCTTTCGAACATGGTTTCTCTGACATGCCGAGCATCGACGTCAGCTTCGATGTGTTCCAGTACGGCAGCGTGGTGGCTGAAGGCGACAGCAGTGGCTTCTCCAGTGGAGCTCAGGGGTCGGACCTGGACGCCATCGCATTACCGACCCGACCGGGCAGAGCTCTGACGGTGTTCTTCAGCCTGAGGGTGACCAACATGGCGTTCTCCATGGACCTCTTCAACAAGAGCTCCCCAGAGTACAAGGCTCTGGAGCAGCGGTTCATGCAGCTGGTGAGAACTCAACAGGCTGTTTCCCAGTGCAGGAAGTTCCTGGTTATTGTAGGGTGGCCTGAACCTTTGTTCTGACCACAAGAACCATCCGTGTAGAACCTCTTTCAGGGCTGTTTTCTGGAGAGAAGAAAGAACTGCAGCGTTGGTTTTCTGAGCAGTGCTGAAAAGCTGCTGGTAAAGGCTCGACATGAATCAGTTCAACTTAAAGACGTCTGTAACGGCACCACTAACTTACCATTAACAACAAACCTCCGTTTATGTTTCCTACATAGAACTGGAGTCATGTCCAGGATCTGCTGTTTGTTCGGGATGTTCTGATTCAGTTTCAAAGATGTGCAGAAAAGTTGATCAGGACATCCTTGTATTAGTTGTTGTTTTGGTGAATTCAGACTCAACATTGCAGCAAGGTTTGGATCCAGCAGAAGCGCTGAAAGGTCCAGTTAGCAGGGTCATCCTGTCAACTTTGACCTCGTACCTGAACAGAGTTTCTGCTGCGGAAAGACACCTAAAGAATCTGGATAAAAACATGCAGTTTCAGATGTCATGCTTCTAACATTTCGCTGTGCTCGCCTCGCAGCTCGTACCGTACCTGCAGTCCAACCTGAACAACTTCCAGAACCTGGAGATCCTCAACTTCAGGAACGGCAGCATCGTGGTGAACAGCAGGATGAGGTTCGGGAAGCCGGTTCCCAGTGGGGTCACCAACGTCATCTACCTGATCCTGGAGGACTTCGCCAACACCGCCTACCAGACCATGAACATGGCCATCGACAAGTACTCGCTGGACGTTGAATCAGGTAGGATGGAGCCCCAGTGGCCAACGTGAAACATCCTTGTTATTTTAAAAATGTTTTCATTCTATAAAAACCATAAAATCAGAACTATTGTTGCTGCCCTAAAGCAGAGAAGTCTGGAAAAGTCAAAGGACACTACATTTTAGACGACTGAGACGTTTCTAGATGTGAGTGGCTCAAAACACCAACGACTCATCAAAGTTAGGTTTCTTGTGGAGTTAAAACACCTGAAAGCCATTTCTGATTTCTTCATTTGTTCTGAGTTTTTCTGTTTTGGAATCAGGTGTTGTGACTGATTTGGTGTTCCGGTAGTGAAGTGGGAACATGAGTCTAGTACTGACCCATTAAGTCACCGGGCTTCATGTCAGAACTCCTCACCTCCACCAATACCCAAACGTTCTCACACTTACAGCAGCAAACAGAACTCACAGAGCTGAGTGCTGCTGCACCAGTCCTAGTCAGAGAGTTGCTTCTGTCTTTACAGCTAATTCATTTAAACGAGGGATGGTTTTGTCACCAATGTTTGTCTCTGTAGAGAAATTAAAGCCGTTCTATGCTGCAGAGGCTCAGGTGAGACCCAAGTTTGCGTCTGCAGCCTTTCACCCGTCAGGACTCTAATACCTGGATAATCTGTCTGGGAGGAACGTGAACACGACTCATCCTGGTGAATCAACATCATACTTACCTCGACTAGTCTGAGGCCACACCGGCCCTGAGCAGCGTCATGCACTGCTGCAAGGCATTCAACTTTTCTTACAAATCGCAAAAAACTTTTAACTCTTTGTGATAAAATATGAAGCGTTCTATGACCAACTGTTGAAGCCATCTGAGTGCAATCGCTACAAAAACATAATAAAAACACGGAATTCTGTGTAAAGATGGCGCCTTAGAACCTGGAACGTCAACGTGGTATCAAACTGTGGCAAACAGGAAGTACGATGAGATGGTAAATTATTACAAGTAGCTGTTGATACGACATATGTTGTGTTTAGAGTTTGTTCTGCTGCCACCAAGTGGACAAAAGTTCAACTTGAATAAAACTTGGAAATAGTAGAATAAAGGATCCAGTATAGAACCCTGAAGAACCCCACAGGTAATTGCTGATAATGCTGATGAGATGATCATGTTTTTTTGATAGCTGTGCGCTAACATGTTAGCATCAGCTACTTTCTAACATGATAACTGGCCATGTGTTGTGTTTTGAAATAATTCTGTTGCCCCCAAGTGGCCAAGAAAAGTCAGTGATTGCAAGTTTAGCCAAACTTGAAAGCTATAAATAGAACATAACCCTGAGGAACCCCCTGGTAATTACTGATAATGCCCATGCAATTATTTGCTAACTAGCTACTTTCTAACCTGAAAACATGTCAAAGGTTTTGCTTCGGGCTGGTTCTGCTGCCCCCAAGTGGACAAATATCAGTCAATGCAATTTTAACAACACTTTAAAATAAAAATTTAAAGGACCCAGACTTGAACCCTGAGGAACTCCACAGGTTATTACTGACAACACTCTTGCAACTATTTGTTAACCTGTTAGCATTTCTGCTGCCCCCAAATGGACAAAAATCAGCACTTTAATACTTTTAAAAGTTAACCAGAAGGTGTCACATCAGAAAATGCTGGTGAATAATGTTTGTGTTATTGTTTGTTTTGTTGTTGTTGTTTAAGAGGATGTTTGTTAGTTCATGAAGACATACATGGAATTACATACCAATAAGAGAACAAACACAGAAGCCAGGAGACAGGAACCAAACAAGTAATCAGGAGGTGCCTCAAATACCTGATTAGTGTAAATAAGCTGTTTATGTCTTGTTCTGCTGCCCCCCGGAGGCTAAAGATAGAATAATGCCGCTTTAGGTTTGTGGTCCCAGTGCACTGATCAGGTACTCATGAAACCCGTTGTGCCAGTGTGGTGCCGGTCTGAGGATGATGGAGATTCTGAGGAATGACTCCATGTTTCCTCCATCCTCTTTAATCTGTCTGAGCCTGTCAGAGCAGCTCCTGACAGCCTGACGACGCTAATCTACAGCAGGACTCACTGGACGCCATAATCAGTTTACGCTGACAGCACAAGGACACTGGATGTGGGTTTATCTGTAGCATCACAACGTCCACATTAAAGGTGGTTCTGGAACCCCATTGGACCAAAGCAGAACATGAAAATGTGAGAATAAGTGATGAGAAACAGACGCTGGACTCTCATCAGACGTTTGTCTATTTACAGAAATGAATCGAATCGTGTTCGTCAGAGCTTTTACTTCCTGTTGAGCTGTTTTCCTGCTAATGTTCAAATCTGCTTCAAAATCAGACTGAAAACAATCTGCCGCTGGGTTTCCAGATGTTCCCTAAACGCCTCCCGGTCCTCCGTAGACGTTCCAGGTGTGTTTGTGCTTCACGCCTCCTCCTCTTCTTCTGTGGTTTCCAGGCGACCGGGCCGACCCCTGTAAGTTCCAGGCCTGTAACGAGTTCTCTCGCTGCATGGTGAACCGCTGGTCCGGAGAGGCCGAGTGCGTGTGCGACGCCGGCTACGTGAGCGTGGACGGGCTGCCGTGTCAGAGCGTCTGCGACGTGCAGTACGACTTCTGCCTCAATGATGGCAAATGTGACATCATCCCCGGCAAGGGCGCCATCTGCAGGTGGGAGGAGCTTCTACACCGGTGGTCTGAACTACAGTAAACGCACAAAACAGAGACACGCAATGATCAGCACTAAAGCAAAAACATGCTTTTTCAGCTAATGACCGACCAGGCAGGTCCTGGAGTAGTTGCAGGAGTTTGTGGGTTATTTGGATTTTCTGATCAATCGTTGCAGCTCGAGGTCATTAGAAGTTCTGCAATGTGGCACCTTTAAGTAACAGAGGACCAGAAGCAGAGCCTTGAGGGACTCCACAACACATTTTAGTTGGTTTTTGCTGGTTTCACTGTGAATCGAACCTCCGCTGCAGGTGTCGGGTCGGGGAGAACTGGTGGTACCGCGGCGAGCACTGCGAGGAGTACGTCTCCGAGCCGCTGGTGGTCGGCATCGCCATCGCCTCGGTGGCCGGCTTCCTCATGGTGGCGGCGGGCATCATCTTCTTCCTGGCGAGGACGCTGCGGGACCAGTATGACGGGGAGGACACGGAGGACCCGCTGCGGTGAGAGCCCGGTTGTGACAACCACAACCAGAACCAGAACCAGAACCAGAACCACTCATTCATTCAACCATAAATCTTGTGTTCCAGGCGGGGCGACAGCATGCCGACCCTCGAACGCGCCACCAAGTTCAACCCGATGTTCGAGAGCGACCCGGTCACCACGCAGTACTACCGTCGCTATGACGACGACGTGCCGCCATACAGCAGCTCGGACGCCTCCAAAGGCGTCAGCAGCACCGAGATCCGAAACATCTACCAGAACACCACGCTATCCAAAGAGGTGAGTCTGGCCTAAGAATGTGTTCTAAAGCTGGTCCATGTGGTCTAGAAC